TCTGCAGTTGGTGTGTGTGCTGTTCCTGGATGGAAGGAATAGTAAAGAAGCCAGAGGCTGGCATGCAATGCAGGCAAGAAAGCTAGTCAGTTAAAATGGAAATGGAGGCATCAGGGGGTGAGGGACAGGCTGGGGTGGTGGAGAAAGGGGGTGTAGCAATGCAGGTAAAAATGCAGAGGTACCTGGGGAGTCAGATGTCTGGATAAAAGCGGAGCAGGGCATGCTCCTGGAGCATGCCCAGAGGCAACCAGAGGCTGAGTCCTCCAAGAAGACACTCTAGCACCTGGCCAGAGTGTCACCTGGCAGCAGTGGCTCAGACCCAGGTTCTGTTCTCGGGAAGGAGGGACATGGGCATGGGGGGACTGTGGGGTTTTTGTGGGGGGCTGTGGGTGTGGGGTTTGTGGGGAGTGTGGAGGGGATGTGGGGAGTGTGGAGGGGATGTGGGGTCTGTGGGTGGGTGTGGAGAGGTGTGGGGAGTTTGAGTGGGGGCAGCCACACGCCCACCCCTCCACTCCCCTGCAGCATACAGTCCCTGGTGCTGGCAGCAGCAGCCAGCCAGGCTGTCGGGGCACTCATGGCTTGCTGCAGGCACAGCCCTGTGGTGGCATGATGCTGTCTGAGACCCAGGGCCTGCACATGGTGAACAGAGTCAGCCTGGCCCAATGACGCTCAACTTCAGACAGGACCAGGATGGCTCCTGCCACCATCTGGGGCTCCCGGCACTGCACGAAGGAGCTGTGTGCCATTGGGCTGGGCAGCCATGGGGGCGTCTCCCGTGGCTCCTCTGGCTGTGCCTGCCTCTGCCCCAGTGGGGGAACTGCAGGAAAAGCCCCCCATGGCTGCTCTGCCCAGCCCCAGCCTCCCGGCCCTTTAAAAGGAAGGCTGCAGGGTTGTGCCAGACTCTTCCTGCAGGGCATGGGCCCCTGGATCTGTGTATGGGATGACAGCAGGCTGCCATCTCTCCCCCAGAGCACTGGGATTGGAAGGGACCTCAGGGACAGATCGCAGACACTGGCCAGCTACAGATGTCAATATCAGAGCAGTCCTTTCTCCCCCTCTTCTTCCCCCTCTTCCTCCTCCCTCTTCTGAGTTTCTGTTTCCCCGCAAGCCCGCCTCCAAAACATTCCAAAACATCTGAAACATTTCTGAAATGTTTTGTATGGTTTCATTTCAGAAATGTTTCGGAGTCTTCCGTTTAGTTTTGGATTCAGTGTTCCGGCACTGAAACACCTCCGAAATGAAATGGCTGCCGAAATTTTGCACAGCCCTATTAGACAGTTCCAAGCAGGCCACTGCAATGAGCACATCTTCCAGGCAATAGATGCCCAAATTGCACGGCTAGGGCACACATGGCAGCAGTGCCGCATGAAGGCCAACTCTACAGCCACAGTCCACTGGCAGCTGGCTCAGAGGTGCAGGCAGCTCTGCTGCAGTGTCTGTACCAGAGCACAGGCAGCTGTGTGGCCCCATCCATGTCTGCAGGTCCAAGGGGCTGGATGCTGTCACAGGTGGCAGCAGGTAACAGCCAGGCAGCAGCCCCTGCTGCCAGACTGCTGCAGTCGGTAGAGGGGGCAGGGGCCACTCTGGGTGCTTTAGCAGTCCAGCTGGCACAGGGGGCTAGTGTTCCCATATATCAACTGGCTGGGCCTCAGAAGCTCCACAGGGCAAGTAGCCCTGAGCTGCCTACCAGGGCATTTTTTTATATTGCTGGGGCCAGCACAGGTACTGGCCCCAGCCTCTGGATCCCTCTGGCTGAAGATCTGGGAGGAGCTGGGCAGGGTCAGTTTGCCCCAAGCGGCACAATTTGCCCCATACCAAAGTGCATGTTCAGGCACATGTGCTGAGGCACAAATCTCTGGCACAAATTTGTGCTACTGCTATTTGAGCTGCTGCAAGTGCATGCGCTTGCATGTGTGGACATGGCCATTAAGTGCAAGGCTGTTGGCAACACTTCCAAATGGAGAGGTCAGATGGATGGGTCAAGAGCTTCTGACCAAGAATGAACTGGCCAGAAATAAGCAGACAATGTTCTTTGGGTAACTGTGTGGAAAAGTTGTTCTTTGCAAACTTTTGAGCACAAACAACTTTTTTCAGACATAGGGAGAAGGTCAGAAATAATGTATTTTGAAACTCTCTGACAAAGGTGGTAGCTGAAGGCTGCAGGGAGATGAGGTTGCTGATGCATTTAAAGAGAAAACATGAAGAGAGCTCTGGGGGGCACAAATACTTCATTTCTTTGAAGAAATAAAAATATGAAGGTATTCATACTAAACTCTGGCTGTTTATACCATATTTCCCCACAGGATGAAACAAGTACATAAAAAGAGTCATGAATGTAAGCACTCACAAACGTCATTCCATACCCCTCCCCTTTTCTTAATAGCCTGAGGAAAAGCAAATATAAAAATTACAGTATGCCAGAAAGCTAATAAACCCCGGCTGAGAGTGGATAATTCAAAAGGTAGGACACCATCCAGGAAAAGCCTAGCAATCAGCTCCGTCTTGTTTATACTTAGGGTCTCCAGAATAAGCCTCTGTGCCAATCTCAGCTATTACAGTACGTCACAAGGAGGGATGTGATTTCAGAGGTAGCCATTATCCCACATCATTTAGGGCCAGACACCTTTAAAAGGTGAACTGAACATGGAATAGCAAGGAGGAATGGAAACAGGAGACCATACAACCTAGAAGCTAAAAGAGTGAATTAATTGAAATTCTAAGTACTAGATTGTCTGTAATATACTGAAGAAACCTTAACTTCCCTTAATAAGAAACTAAGACAAATTGTGATTGTTTCCAATTACAGAATTAGCAAACAAAACTTTGTTCTGGACAGCAAAGGATGTGTCTCCATGAAGACACCATGCAACCAGGAGATTCTTCTCTCCAGGCTGAATACAAGAAGAACAGAAGTTAATTCTCTGATTTTTACCAATTCAGTATTTCCAAACCACTGCGTGAGACTCATTTCCAGTTTCCAGGATTAAATATTCTCACTGATCTTGAAACTCTAAATGTTGGCTTTGTCAGGTTCATAACTTTTGTATTTCATTGTTGGCTTGTTTTTTTCTTGAGCAAGGATCTAAATCCATTCAGAGAATATCATACTAGTGCTGTTTTGCCCAGTGTCCCTTTTAATCACTAGCAAAGATACAGAAGGAAAAAAATCTTGCAGTAGATCTATCTGTTGTTCAAACAAGCACTGCACCAGTCTGAGACAGTTACAGCTTCAAAGCGTATCATGCTAGTGCAGTCCTTTCCCATTAAAAATGAATAGCTTCCCAAGGTAGCACCTCAGGCTCATTCTAGAAATTTAACTCTTTAGTCCCAACAGCCCTAGTTAGGGGGATGTAAGTAGGTTACCGAGCCTACTGGCCCCTGCAAACTAACAAACAAAAAATCCTCCTGCTTTGTCCGAGCCACTTGAGGAGGGTCGTTTTAGCCCTGGCTCCTAGCACAATAATCTGGCTCCTTTCTTATAGTAAGCAGTTACAACCACATTTTGCTTCCTCCTCTCCCTGCTTTCTCTTCTGGGAGTTTTTTAAAGCTCCTAGCAGGACACTCCCTCTTTCCAAATGCCCTGCAGCTGGGCTTTCTCAACAGAGCTTCCTATTCCCTCTTAAAGGCACAGACTACCTTGTTACACAGAAAAAAAGGCAAAAAAAGCAAGCAAAGAGGACACTAGAGAACAGAGCACCTCCAAACCACATCTGTTTTCCAGGATGTACATATGCACCTCCCCAGCCATACCATTCCTTTATTCAGCAAACTAATTTTGCAGCTAATTCTGCTTTAAAAAACAAAAAAAGCCTTAATACCATCTAGGAGAGGTAAGGAATACATACATGTATTTTGGTATTTTGTAAGTACAAATGACATTATTTAAACAAGAGACAAATGCTTCTTTTCATCCATAAAAGAACAATGGGTATCATCCATGTGGGATGTGTATGGTATGCAGTTCACAGAGTAGAGATATTGAATTAGCATATTAATTGAATAGTAAAGTTGCAATGTTGTTGCGGAAATTAAATGCTGACCTAAAACCTGTTTTTGCTGCTACTTTGGCTGCACATATTGTACTGTTTTCACAAGCACCACCACTGTTTTTCTTGGTAGTAGGTCCTATGCCCTAGGACGTTGCTTTTTAATAATTTTATAGGTATTTTTTGAAGTTCAATTTCATTGTACAATAAACTAATGAGCTGATAAAAAATAACTAGCAGAAAGAACTCAGAAAAGGAATTCTATTGCAAAGTAAATATGAGAAATCCTCCACACTAAGTCCTCTCGAACAGCCACTTGACATGGTTAGTAAAGAACCAATAAAGCAATGACTAATAAAGCGATGGCTAGTCTACAATGCTTTTGGACACAGCTGGAAGAAGGGTACCGCATCAATGAACTCAAATATTTTTCAAACTCACACCACATATCTTGTCCAATCTACTTCCTGTCTGTGAGAGAGAAATATTGGACCAGTCCCCTGAGGTCAAGAGCTCAAGATTGTTGTATGTCTGCAGAGATTAGGAGTGCAATAACAGAAATCAGGCAGCTGGGTCACTCAGGTTAAACCAGAAATATGTGATTCACCAATTCTGGATGCAAGTCAAGAAGGTGAACCAACATAATAATATAGAACTTTCTGAATATTATCATCTGGGAATGTACAGTAATCTAATCTGTATAACTTCATTGGCATTTGGAGAAAACACACACAGTAAATAATGTTCTATCTGAAAGTCCACACTGTAGCCTTCCCCATCAGTGTGAAACAGCGCAAATATATTTATTCCAGTCATCATCAGATTATGAGCAGATCTTTTATTTATACTGATAAACTTTTGCCCAAGTGAATCTTTTTAAAATAAGGTAATGCACCATGGTTACAGGGATTTCTTTCTGAAGAAGTTTTCACTGAAAAAATCCATTATAGGCATAGTTCCTTTCTCCCTCTCTGTCTTCTTCCTTTATAGTAATTAAAACATTCTTTTGCTTACCAGCCATATTATGTTAGAAGAGCTGTCTAGCAGATCAAAAAAATAAAGTAGCATGCTTTATGAATATTTAGTCCTGGCAGGAGTCAGATCTTTCCAAATGATCATTCCTAGGGTGATGCTGTCCAGTGCCTTGAACAAGCTCCCAAGTGTGGTATGATTTTGGGAAAAGTGGGAGTGGCTATATAAAGTGCTGTGCATCACTGGATGCCCTCAAAAACCACTGCAAAATATATGAAGCATAATTTACAGCAGATATTGGCAAGAGTTGAATGCTCTTACTAGTTCTGACAATGTGTAAGTAGCCTTACAGCTGTTGTCTTGATAAAGGACGTTCATCTCACAACATCAGTAATAAGAACATGAAGTGCTATGTAAAATTCTGTGGTTAGTATCCATTATTTTGCATCAAGTGCTTCTGGTTGTGCGGGCCGGGAGCGGTCCCAGGTTCTCGGGGGCGCGCGGCAGGCTGTGGCCAGCAGCCCTGGCACGCGGGTCAGGGAATGCAGGCCGGCGGACTAGAATTAGGCACGGACGCTTAGCGGTTGATTAAAGATTATTATACTTACACCGAAGATGGTTGCGGTGCAGGCAGGAAAACTTGCTTGAGTTGCGGTTACAGACAGAAAAGAAGAGAGGCGGACAAGAGTTCCTTCCACGTGAACCTCTAGCCCAATCTGGTTGAAGGCTCTAAACACACGAGCCCGTCGTGTCAACCGAAGAAAACAACTCGGAGAAAAGAGCTCTGGATACACTCACACGAAGTTTGCTAGGCTCCGTGGAACTTGCGTGCAGGGAAGGGGTTCGTCGAGGGATCGTTCGGCGACGGGGAGAGGCCAGAGGTTGATCAGACCCCTATAGCCTTCTTAAGGTATACGCTGGGTCCGATAGGCTCCGCAGCGCTTAGAGATCTTCACGAGACGTGAAGTTCTCCTCCTCCAGATGGTTGTGGAGTCCTCCAACTTGGGCAGAAACCGCTCAAGCCTCTTATACGGCTAGCAAGCCAATCACTAGCTGCCACGTGGGAATAATTTAGAACTGGCCAATAGTGGGACACAAATTTGCATGCAGGTGGCGGGAACTCCTTTGCACCATGCATTTCTCTTTGCAACTAAGAAATGCACCCTGCAAAGAAAGCTCCGAGTGGCGGGAAATAATTTAGCAGTGCTGAAGCACACACAAACAAAAATCACACCCTTGGGTTGTGACACTGGTGAACAAGTGATAGGGTTAGGGTTTCTTGTTATTTCATTGTTATAATTTCATATCACCTTAAACATCAGACCACATCTGATTAAGGCACTGGTATGGAAATTTGCCAAAAGAGCCGTGTTATTCCCTTACAAAATGGATCACTAACAAGAATGTTAATAGATCTGGTTGTCCCAGCCTTGCACTGTTTTAATTTTGTATCAACATAGACATGGTCTTCCTGTCCAATTTCTTAATGCATATTGGGAAGAGTGGTATCATCCAGCACTGGCTGAACTTTTTATGAGGCTTTGTGACCCAAGTGCCTCTTCCTGAATGACACTGTAAGTCAAAATTCAGAGAAAAGACAAACAGGCCACCCAGAGAGAAGACAAACAGGCCACTGTCACTGTGGCCGCCAGAATATTTTCCCAGTTTTTGCAATGCGAGGTAATAATTGGATCAGTATTCAGCTTTAACATCTGCTGCTGGTTGAGATCTCTGACTCAAGTTTTTCCAACTTCAATCTGATATGCATTTTGAACATTATTAATTCCCATGAGTTGCGTTAGACTGATAGAGAAAGTGATCTGGTTGGCTCTTTTCTTCCAGTGTTTAATATCAATTCTGGATAGAAACAGCTGGAAATAATAGCACATTTGCTACAATAAATTTTCAGAGGAATTTACTGAAAAAATTTCACGTCTATGAAAAGCCAGTTCAGAAAAAATAGTTATATAAAGAGGTGATAGCTCAGGAAAAAAACACATGAGCAAAGAGTTAGCTGATTACTCAACCAAGTTAAACTGGACAGAATTAATATGAATTTGGCACCCCTCCAAACTAATGGGAACCTAGATAAAGAAGGGCCCAACTTTCTCATCAAATACTAAGGAAATTTGGATCAGATTCCTATTTTGAGAATAGTCAAATAATCCACATTTTATGTTCATTTAGTATGATGACCCTTTTAGGTAAAATCTCTGCAAGAATGGGGTGAGGGGTTAAGAGCAGAAAAATGTACATGGGTTGTAGTACATGGCATAGGACTTTGGAGTCCTGCCTCTCATGCCCAGTTTGCTCCTTTGTCAGCTACAGATCTGTATCCTGATGAAACTGCACCCCCAGAATGACAGCGGGCAGCGGGCTTTAATGCAACAGAGAGAGTAGTCTCTTCACCCTGCTGTCACCAGCCAGAAATCTAACAATTTTTCTTCTCTTCACAATTTGGTTTCAAAAGACTTCAGGATATGTCATCCTGAATGGTTCCTGGGAACTAAGAACAGAACTTAAAATGCCGGCCTCTACTCCATTTACAGCACTGCTGTTAAAATGATAATGTTTGTGTAGCACAAAAACATTTCCATTGAAGGTAAATGACATGTTAGGGAATACATTCCTAATCCTCTAAATGTAGTTATATTTGAACAAAAGAGCAGATCAACAGGATTCAGAACTAATTCATAACAGGTTAGAACAGGAAGAGAAAACTATCCAAATAAAACTTCCTGGCAAATGTAGGCCTTATTTGAGCTACCAGAATAGGAATTTGGCCAGAATAATTACAGTTAAATATGCCTCATCTTCTGAGAAATTACCTGGGATATTTAAGAACCACAATTTGTAAGAATTTGTTTAATATTTTCTCCAAAGTTGTTCTTAAATGTTTCAGAGGATTATGTTGTGTTCTAACCCCTCCTCTGGATTTCTCTATAAACTGGATTTTTACCGTTGATACACAAATGATAGCATGTCAAGAAATAGCCATATATTTAAATATATCACCAAAAGAAACAAAAGTAATAAATGAGGTTTTGTTTATAATTACGATATTTAAAAATAAGTAAAATAGTGGTAATCCTTCTCCCACTGCACCCCCATCCCCTTTTACAAAATAAATGATAGCTCCATGCAGAAACAACAAACATAGATGTTGAAAATTCCACTTGGAGCGCATGTGCTTTCACAGAGATCACATGGTGGATAGATTCATAAAATAAATAAAGCCTTCTTCTAAAGGCCTTCAAAACAGGTTTTACATATTGAAAGTTAAAATACTTATTATAACTTCAGACAAGAAAATATTATTAGGATATTTAGAATATCTATGGGAGTAAATTTTGGGAAATAGTGATGAATACCTATCTTTTTTTTTTTTTTTTTTTTGCTGTGGAATGAATCAAGTCAGCTCTCTCTCTTTTTTATGACCCATTAAAGGCCTAGGAGTTGAAAGATAATTATGAATGACATAGCTGGTGTCATGATTTCATAAAGGAATTTACAGAACATTTTGTAGAGCAATAGGAATTTCCAGTTTGTGGAGAAATTGAAATTAAACATATTTTAGATTATACTTTAAATGTAAGAATTCAATATTCTTTAATATATCAGGCTAAAATTTGGTTTTAATAAACCTAAGGCAAATTTGTTTAATTAGTTTGTGGTAAGAACTGAAATGGCCTACTACTGATTAAATAAATAAATTTACCACTAGTTGATCTTCCCATTCATGCTGCTAGTGAAAAGTTCTTTTGATTCATGCAACAGTTCTTAACTGAAAATAATTAACAGCATTGGTAGAAAACAGTGGATCAGTTTAACACACTGGCAAAGATTTTTTATTGGTAAGAATTAAAAAATGCATAGGGATAATTTGTGTGTTCAAGTACAAATGCAAATGGGTAATTAGGGAAATTGTGCTTTCACTAACTGAAGTTCAAATCTAGATGTAATTAGTGTTTTTAAGAGCAGAATTGGTCTTTAGAAATTTAACTTGTTTCAATTTCAGTTTAAAATGACTTAAATTTACTGACTTCCATGACACATTGCAAAGCCTGTCTATTCTTAGTCTCCTGGTACTGGTATGAGTTAAAAATGGAAAGGCATTAAGGCTGTGGTTTCTGCTAATTTCCAATGAACAACTGTCATGCAATCAAGATTTTGTGGCTGAACTGGGAAGTGTACTTTTGTTGCACATATGGACATAAGTTTTCTAAACAGCAAAACTGGAGCTTAGAAGAAAGAAACTTATTTAGAGTAGATGACATATTGAAGACTAAGCAAGATAAAACCCCTCACATACAGCATTCATTACCACTTTCTTTCTTTGCATCCAGTTCTAGATGCTCACAAGACAATGAATATTCCTGTGAAGTTTCAAGTATCCTCAAGCCACTTTGGGTGCCTGTAGACATGCAGGGAGGCTGCTCCAATGCACTATAATTACAGAGCGTTGTAGGAGATGTGATTAATCGAGTCTGCTGGAATGCTAATTAGCATTCTCCAGCAGCCTTCATGTCTTGTATATTGGTGTCCCTGCACTTCAAAATGGCAATGGGGGTGCTTTAACTAAAGCAGGGAACTGATAACACAGCATTTAGCACCCTATCAAGAAAACAAAACCTCTCTCATTAGTTCAAGCTCTTCTTAAACAGCTTTTTCCAAGGAAGGAACGAGGGACATTACTAAGCCAGCACTGTCCTGTCTGCCTTTGTCTTGTCCCAGGAAACTGGAGACACACACACACACCTCTCACCATTAGCTAGCATTAGCTAGCATACTACGTGCCGGCAAGGATCCGTGGGGCTGGAGTCCATGCTGTGGGAGATGGGAGAGAGGGAGGGGGGGATCCCTGCTTGATCAGTGAGTGGCGCGGGGGATGAGGGGGGTATTGGGGAAGCCAGACAAACCCTGCTGTGCCTGCAGTCTCTGCTGGTGCTCTGGCTAGGGAGCAGAGGGGTGGGGCCAGCCCTGCTTGCTGGAACTGACAGCCCAGCCCAGGCTGCAAAGTATCTGGGATGCTGGGGGACTCTGGTTTAACTTAAACCAAGAAGGGGTCTGGGACAGACATTGCATTTGTGTTTGACCCAAA